AGACCGGACCCCGGGAGATTTTGAACTAACTCCTTAAAACACTCGCTGCTCGCGAGAGAGAGCAAGTCCCGTTTTTAGAACCCGAACGCTTTCAGGAAAAAGGTGCCCCTCCATGCTGGTAGGACGCGTGAGGTGGGGAGAAGATGTCAGGGGCGGTCCCTGTAGTTCTAGTGCCCCGTCGGTTATTGAAGTAAGGAAAAATTTGTAATTTGGCCAGGGACATTCCTGGACAAGTTTTATAAGTACCGCTGACGTGACAAGGAACCAAAATTTCTTTGTTTTCATTGGTGAAATTTCATCTTTAAATCTTTAATCTCAATCTTCAATGTATAGTCTGATTCCGGCCTTATTAGTGTATTCTTTTAAATCATCCAATCAGCATTTTAGATCTAGAAGAATACATCAATAGCAGCGAGCGCTCACTCAACTGTTGAACGCAGCATCGCAACATCGGTTTTTTTGACACGTCACTTGAAACGAAATCATACGGTGTGAAAAAGAGCTGCGGAATAGAGAATACGTCAATGAAACAATCAATTAGCGCTATTCGGAATAACGCAGAATAACGCTGATTGGTTGCTTTTATGACGCATTCTCTATTCCGTAGTCGTTTTCCGCACCGTGTGATTTCATCCTTACGGCTTGCGAGCCTATTGTGTAAGGCCGTTGTGTGCCGTCCCATTAAGCACGGATCGGAATAACGGATCGGATTCTGCTAGGGAATTCTAGTGTATTCTTGATCCTGCTGATCGAAACATTAAATTTCCTCTATCCCGGACGGATCGGGTATTTCTGTCCGCTCAAATTTTAAAACGCCATTGTGTTGGAAGAATATCATCAGGATATTTTGTTTTATTCCGACTTGTGTCAGTTATGTGATGTGTATGTGTTACGTGTGTCACCAGGACTTCGTACGTAATAACAAGTCAAAATTCTACCGAGATGAATACCAATAATCAAGGAAAAGGTAATAATAATTTTAAATGCACATTGTTTATTATATTCATAAATTATTATTATTTATAGATATTTATTATTATCCAGAACATATCATGGGATTATATTCGCATATTAATAGATTATATGGAAATTTTGTTTGTTTATCAAAAAACATGAAATTGACAAATGGTGTGTTCGAGGAGACGCTATTAGCGCTACTTCTGTCATTCTATCTCTGTTGTTTATTAGACGTAAAATTAGGATAGGATGACACAAATAGTGTTTTTCAGAATGCACCTAAAATCTGCTGAAAAAAATCTATGTGAAAAATCATATGGACAAACGCTGAGATAGCAATACTTTCTTTACTGGCTTTCCATTTGACAAGTGTCGTTCTGTCTTTGTCATTCTCTGAATATCAAGAATAGAACGATGTTTGTGTCGACTTATATCATCAAATGGAAAGCACCCTATATTATTTGAACTACATTATCTGAACATATTATATGGATTTTTTCATGGTGTAGTTTTATCACATCATTTTTCCATATGGTTTTCACTGTATAATTTTCAATATATGAATTTTTTCTTTACAGACATCAAATATTATATAATTCATGTATTCATATTTGCAGGCTATAAAATACGATTATTGTGGGTGGATAATGTATGGATCTTGTACGGAGATTCAAGCCCATAACTGCTTCAAAAGTTACAATTTTTCATATTCTCGTTATCGACGAGAAGGGCCGTGCTACAATGAGTAATTTTATTTGCAAGAAAATATTTTCACAATTAGTTTTCAAGTATTAAATATATTCAGTAAGTATATTTATTTATATATAAACAGCAGTAAAGCAAATAGGAGAAAGTACGGAGGGATTCATCACCATCAGAGAATAGTAATGCATTTACTTCATACTCAGTGGACCTCATGGATGAGATGCTCATTGATGCCGTTGAGCAAAGACCAGGTCTATACAATTAAAAGTTGCCAGTTCAAAAGCGAAGCCTTGCATACAACAAAAGTTGTGGGATGAAATTTTTAATAATATAAAATCTTGGTAATATAAAATCATTTTATGTATTCATAAATGTATATTTATGTCCATATTTAGAGCGCGCTAAAGATATAGTGTTTTGTCATTCTATTTGCATCGTTCATTAGACGAAAAACAAAGAATAGAATGACAAAAACACACACTAACATTTTTAGAAGCACATTCTGAATACGAGCCTTATGCCCATATTCATAGTCAGGCCTTATATTTAAGGCTTTCTTAAATTTATCTTTGGTTACTCTAAAAATTATTTCATTGGTTACTGAGCATCTAAAGATAAATTTAAGGAAGCTTTAAGTACAAGATCTGCCTATAAATACGGGTAATAATCTGCACTCGCAAATAGGCTAATGTACTTTTGTATTTGTGTAAGCTGAATTCATAATTTGAACTAGGGATTTTTAGGTTTTAAAGACGTAGCGTGGATGAAATCTCGATGGGCGTACCTGAGAGACTGTTACTCAAAAACTCGCAGAAAAAAATGAAAGGTTATGTATGTAGCGGATCAGGTGCGGAAGCGGATCATCATCTACAGAAAAGTACTTTCCGCTTCTTTAAGAATGTATTTAAGAATGTAATTTCTAGATGAGGCTGTACAGGAAATGCCGTGCGTAATAACTTGTCTAATATAGATTTTAGAATATGAAAAATATATCATATTTTTCTTATTTGTCTTTATTGTTTAATTTTAGTACAAGTTTTCTATCACAGAACATATAATATGATGAAGCTAGTGCATTAAGTCCGAATTCGGAATTTCAGCAATGTAATGTGTCTTTTTCAACAGATTATAGCACGCCATTTATGAAACATCAAACTGTTCGATTCATTGCACGCGATTAACAAAAAAACAAAAAGATGAATTAATTTTGAATAACTAATAATCGACATATCTCATAGATTTCCATAATTAACTGATATGTTTTCATATTTTTCATGATTTTTAATAAATAGTTATATTTAATAAATAATTATAATTGATTTTTTTTTCATATACTGTAATAGTCTGAAATTAATCTTTTTAGATTGTGTATTTCCTTATATTTTTTAGTATCTTATTATTATATATTATATATAGTAGTATATAACATTTTATAATATATATTTTTTTTAGGAAGACAGTATGATCTCGATTTGCAGACGCTGCATGAACATATTGCAGCAGTTGCTTGCCGAAAATACTCCAAAAAAGGATGCAGTGGACAGTTTCCTGGAACAGTTGGGAGATATCCTGCGTAGGTTGAGCTTCGAAGAAGGCGAATACAAGTAGAATTGCTGCGTCTCGTTCACACGGCAGAAGACGAAAAATTGGCAGAGAAGGAACTTCAAAGATTATAAATTTTTTGTATTATTATTGTTACCTTTAATTTTTTACCAATATGTTATACATTATATAATAAAAAATTTATTCTATTATATTATTTATTTCTATTTCAATAAAACCTGACGAGTAGTTCATATTTGGATTTGATAGAAATAAAAGTTTTGTTATTACACTATAATGTATATGTCAAGTTCAAAACATTAAGATATGTACGATCTTATATTTATTAATAATTAGAAAAAAAATATGGTTTTTTTGTTGTCTTATAATAATTGAGAGTTAATCGTAAAATTTCATAGTAAACTACTTATCTAACACATTGTCACAATTACCAATGAGTTTCTCTATGAGAGACCATTTTTTAAATAACAGATGTGATACATAACATAAATAATTACATAACATAATGTATATAACATAATTAGATAACATATTGTACATAATTATATATATACAGGGTGCGGCAGCATAACTTCCTTTTTTGAAATGCGCGCCATTCAGTGGGTTGATGTCGTAGCGGAGCGCTAGTGGTCTCGTTCGAGAGGCGGGGGGATAAAGTTTTGTCCCCCCA